TCACATCTAACTTTTTTGCTACAGTATAAAATTCTCAGATAAAATTACATCTCAACTTAAATTCTAAACTCTCATCAACAAAATGAACGAGGCCTTAATCACCGCATTTCGTTACCTGTTTGATGCGTCTTGTCAGCACTTTATACATTTAGGGACAACAATACATTAATTGTCTTTTGTCCTTTTTGTTTTGTTTTTTTTCTTTTTCATTTCTATATGTACGAGAATTTTGGTTTGCCTCTCTAATGAATGGTTATTGGGAACTGCAGTGCATTAATTGTGATTTACCTTTTTTTTTTTCTTTTTCGTTTTCTTGAATCAAAACTAACGAATTTCATTTTCGCTATATAAAATAAAATTCTTTTTCAATTTAAAAACATGCCAATATAGAAGGTAGGAAGAATTAATATTGGCTTTGTTTATATCACTAATATGAGTTTTTAATTTCACTTTTAAAAGTTATATTTAATTTTTTTATTATAATAAATTTTTTTTACATAAAATTACATCTTAATTCGAATTAAATTCTCACATAAAATTATATTTTAACTCGTATTAAAACATCGAATCTACAAATTGAATGAGACCATTAAATTTTCAAATTAGTTCTTAAAAAACATCGTGTATAATATCCATAACTTATTTAATACATTTGTTTTATAAAGAAATCAAAATCATAAATCAGCTGTTACCATAGTAGCTGCATGAATCGAAGCGGATACTGGAGTGGGACCCTCCATAGCATCAGGTGACCAAGTATGCGATCCTATCTGTGCAGATTTCTCAACAGCACCAATAAAAAGTAAAATACAAATAAGAGTTATGGCATTCAATCTCATATTGCAAGTTAAAATATATATTTTAATGAAATAGTTAAAGATAAATCTAAGATAATTAATAGTTTTGTATATACATTCTTATATAAATAATATATATAATACTACCTAAAAATTTTTCTTAATTTTTTATCTTCTGCTTTAGATATTTTATTAAACACATATCTAAGTGAGAATGAGTTTTTTAACTGCCATTTCTTGGTTTTATTCACTGCGTTTCGTTACCCTTTGATACGTATTGTCAACACTTTAGATCCGTTTAGTTCACTGATTTGAGTTTTTAATTTGAATTGAGATGTGATTTTATGTAATAGTCTTTTATTGTAACAAAAAAGTTAGATTTAACTGTTTCTGAGAGCTTTTTACTATAACAAAACTTGAATTCTAAACTTAAATCGATGAAATAAACGAGACCTTCATATATTGGGGATAACAGTGTATTAATTGTGTTTTGTCTATTTTTTTCCATTTCGACTTGTACGAGAATTTGGGTTTTGCCTCTCTAATGAATGATTATTGGGGAGTGCAGTGCATTAATTGTGTTTTGTCTTTTTTTTGTCTTTTTCATTTTCTTGAATCAAAATCATAAAGCACTGAGAAGAGTATAATGAATTTCATTTTCGCTATATAAAGTAAAATTCTTTTTTAGATAAAAAACTTATGAAAGTGGAAATAAAGAGTTAATTTAAATTCACATTAGAAGTTCTAAAAAAATATCCTGTATAACATTCATATCTTATTTAATACATTTGTTTTATAAAGAAATTAAAATTATAAATGATAGTTAAAATATATATTTTAATGAAAATAGTTAATAAAAATATAAGATAATTATTTCTTTTTTTTTTTTTTCTTTTTTTCCCTATTTTTCTATTCAGATCTTTATTAAACATAATATAAGTGAAGAATGAGTTTTTTTAACTGTCGTTTCTTAGGCCCCGTTCATTTCACCAATTTGAGTTTTATTATAGTAAAAAGCTCTCAGAAATAGTCACATTTAGCTTTTTTACTACAATAAAAAAAAAAAAAAAAGAGACACCATGCTCTCGCCTAGGCTTTAGCCTTAATCTCCTTTTAGTTGGTTTGCCATAAATGGCCTTCTTTGTGTACGAAATGATAGAACTTCTAGTATGCATGGACAGGAAAAAGAAAATTAACTTCCAAGAATGCTTTACGTCAGGACCTTTTTTAGCCATTGTGCTAATAATATACACGCTTTTACGAGTAAATTAGTGGTGGGTGTATAATTTTCAGAAAAAGAAAAATAAGAGAAAAACCATATTAATTGTTACGTCGCTTTCAGTATTTTGAGGGATGGCTCGCGCAGGAGGGGAAAGCTTTATGGGAACGCTTCACTTTACATAATAATGTTTGGGAAATGTTTTGTTGATGATCGATCAATGAAAGAGAAATGGAGGCTGGCTGGAATTTGTTTGTCTTTATTCTTTTGGCCAGGTTTCAAAATGGCATATACATATAATAATAATAATTAATTAATTACTAAACAATATCTAAGATTAAAATATATACAAGCCCGTGCATTTTGGCATCACAAAGCCCGCCCCTATTGTGGCCATTGTCTAGTGGGGTTAATAAAATCGCAAACGCAGTCAGACGCGCAGAGGTTGGAACTTGGAGCTATCCTCCATGGTTTATTGGCACTCGTGAGCCCTATATTGTATACTATACTATATATATATGTATAATTTATTCTACTATATCTATATTAATTCTTCATTTGAAGAATTCCTTGTTCGTATCCCCACGACACTTTAATATATTCTCATATTTGTATCGTCTGTGTGTATAATATATATATATATAACACACGTAAATCTTGAAATGGACAGAATAGCCACTGATCTATATTTTCACTGCTCCACCCTAAGTTTTCTTTTTGTTTTCCTTCATAAACTCTATTTTATTCTTTTAACGTGCTGATGAAGAAGCTTTTGTGTTAATGCGTTTTGAAGGAATGAATTACGTCGTCATTATTTTTATTATTACTATTATTTTTTGGATTTCTGCAGAATAGATAGCAGTATTACTGTAAACCAAATTATATCACCATTTAAATAACGTGAGAATCTAACCCGCATTACTGGTATATGTATGAAGATTCTATTGAACAAAAAAAAAAAAAAAAGAAGAAAGGCATGTGTATGAAGAATCCCTCGTTTCTTTAAATACTTTTAACCTTATTTTTTTCAATAAATCTCATGCCTTTCAGATCAAGTACTTCAGTTCTGGGGTTGAGCGGGTCTTTTTAAGTTTTTTTTTTTTGTTTTTTTTTTTTTTTTTTTTTCATAATTTGGGTTTGCCTCTCTAATGAATGGTTACTGGGGACTGCTTGTTACTGGGGACTGCTTGAATCAAAATCATAAACCATTGAGAAGAGTGTAACAACTTTTATTTTCGCTATATAAAGTAAAATTCTTTTTGAGATAAATTTTTTTTGAAAAATCATCCTGTATAACATTCATAACTTATTTAATACATTTATTTTATAAAAAAATCAAAATCATAAACTATAATTAAAATATATATTTCAATAATAAGTTAGTATAAATCTAAGATAATTAATAGTTATATATATATAAATAATATATATAATACTACCTAAATTTTTTCTTAAGTTATTTTTTTGTCTTTTTTTTCTTATTTTTTATTTTACATTTTTTCTCACTTTTGTCTTTATTTATTTTATCTTTTTTTTTTTGTTTTTTTCTCATGATTTGTATAATTATTATTTTAAATGAGTTACTCGCGTGAAACGCGCGTTTTTGACTAGTTAATTATAATAGCACAAATTAGAAATATCGATTTAATTTGAACGTGCAGAAATCGTATTTTTTTGGAGGAAGTGCAGAAATAATATTGAGTTCTGTGGAGCCGTATTTTTAAGGAGCGTTGGAGGCATCCTACACTTGGTGCACGTGTTTACTTCGCATTAAAGAGAGAGTAAAAATATGTACCCCTTCTCAACTAGTAATTTGTTATAAGAGTTTATCCGGCGCAACACAAATACATATAGAGAATAATAATAATAATAATAAATATATTGTCAATACTTCCATCGTCTTGATCGCAATTCATTGTTTATGGAATGTATATCAAATTTACTTAGATTTGCTTAACAAGTTCCTGTGCTATAAGTTAATGATGGTTTAATTATGTACACAGAAGTTGATAAAATTACTATTCTAAGTTTATTGACCAGATTAGATTGTTTTCCATTACAATATCCAATAGCCAAATAAACAATAACTATAAAGAGAATTAAGCCCATTTGTGAAGTGTATTTGAACCTTGATTCGAGTTTTGATTCAATTTTTTTGTGAGAGAATTATTGGTGAAAATTTCTTTTATTTAAATTTTTTATGAGAGAAAAACACTATAACAAAATTATAATTTGAGTTTTGAGTATGTACCAAACAATCCCGAACTATTTATTTTTCTTTTTAATTTTTGGTAACAAAAGTGAATTATGTGCTCTGTTTATTGTTGTATTTCCTTCTCATTGTTATTGTATATTAAAGATAAGGGTGTAATTCCATACAGGAAAGTGAAATGATTATATATATAATTCACAATCTGCATAACCAATGTGCTTGAAAGAAACGGGTCAAATTATCTATGCTATCTCAACCAGAAATGAAGATCGCAAATTATACTTTTGCATTTAAAAAAAAAAAAAAAAAAAAAAACAAAATTGTACCCCAAAAAAAAAAAAAAAAGAAGATAGCAAATTGTACTCCCTTCACGAGGGGGAAAAAGACAAGAATTCTTTTTGAAAGCTTAAACTAGTGCATTATCTGCCTGTTACTTGCGTTATCATGTTATATTAGAATCAATCTTTTTAAAACATAAACTGTTAGACACAGTCTAGTTTGGTCTAATAGTACTTGTAATTAGCTTATTATAGTTCCAATATTGCACCCTGTATAACCAAATTGATAAATTCAGTATTTTGTCTTACTATGAAAAAAAATCTTTAGAAAAGAATCTAAATACAACAACCAAATTGAACTATTCAGTATTTTGTCTTACTATGAAAAAAAAAAAAAAAAAAAAACCTTTAGAAAAGAATCTAAATACAATCTGCAGCTAAACAATGGAATAAAAATAACCGTATGAAATTTTTACTACGAAAAACAAACAAAACCTCTTCTGTTGATGGGATTTACCGGTATCTCTGTTAGCTAGGCAGTTATACATATGTCTATATGGTATTGCCCAGCCTTTTTCCTCAGCTCTATTTTCTTCTCTTTTTTCCCCCCCATTCAGATGGATTTCTTCAATGGAAAGTAGCAAAATCATGATTATCCTCTCTTGTGTCATGACTATCTTGAGGACTATTTAGCACAAAATGACTAGCAAAGAACTGGAAATACATTAGATTTAGACCCGCCAAAGCAGCCAAGAAGAAGTAGTAGTAATCAAGCCTGTTCTTGTTAAGGTCATGACCTCCCAACCAAGGGAATTTGCCACTCTTTCCTGTTACTGAGTGTACGACATTCACCACAATGGACCCCACATAACTTGCAATTGAGAGGCAAAGAAAAAAGATTGCCCCAGCAACAGTCCTCATATTCTCTCCCAATTGCATGGTGAGAAACTCCATTATGGCCACAGCAGCAAAAGCCTCGGTCAAGCCGGACAAGGAGAACTGCGGAATTAGCCAAAAAACACTTGCTGGTGAAATGAAGGACTCTTGCTTCAATGCCATGTTTCTGCGGTGAATCTCGACGAAACCGGATACTATCATGGCGAATATTGACATGACAATCCCAACCCTAATTCTCTGCCTCATTGACAACCTCTTGTCGCTTGACGAACCGGTTATTTTCCGCGCCTGCAGTAGGTAAATCCGCTCGTAGACGTAGATCCATATGGAGAGTGCAACCATTGACACAATGTTCATCCATCCTGGTGGGAACATGAAGTGGTTTTTCCCAATGGACCTGTCCATTTGCATTGCTTGGAGAATTCCAAATGTGTTGTTTTGGTCCATTGTCATTAGGGCAACAACTCCAGAAATCCCAACCGGCAAAACTGCGATTAAGCACTTCAATTGCTCAACTTGTTGCACGCTACATAGCCCCCATCCATTCTTGGCCGATCCTTGGCTGGTCAGCTCATCATGGCTTGTGATCACAGCAGCCTTGTCAAGACACCGAAACCTGTCGGTGCGAGGGAGTTTCTGCTCGGCCTCGGTCACCGGAGGATCATAAAAATCAGGCCCATCCATCCTAATTCCGCGTTTTCGGCAGGCTGCTGTGATCACCTTCAACATGTCTGAGAAGACACTGCCTTGGGGCTCTATGTTGATGTAGGTGTGGCGGCCGAGCAGGAAAATGGCGATGGAGAAGGCGAGGCAGGCGGTGGGGATTGCGAATCCTAGGGCCCAGCTGACATTGGTCTGGATGTACACAACACCAGTGAGGGCCACAATTAGGGCAACGGTGAAAGTGAAGTACCACCAGTTGAAGAAGCTCTCCAATTGAGCCCTCCCTTTCTCCGTCCTTGTGTCGAATTGGTCGGCACCGAATGCAATGTTGCAGGGCCTAATTCCGCCTGCTCCTATGGACAGCAGGCCAAGGCCTGAGAAGAGGATTCCCAGCTGCCAACTCTGCGGCACGTGCGAGCGTTCGGTTTCAGAATTTTGGTTCCAGGAGAGGGGTCTTAAGGAACTTATGCCTGCAGTTAGAGTCATGATCCCCATACCCTGAAAAAGGACATAGAGCAAATATACATTCATTTTCATGCTATAAGCTCGGCGAACTCAAACTCTGTCAAACTTTTGGTATCTTATTCTGTGTACAAATTAAATATAGTTTATGCTACATCATCTTTAGGAAAAAAAATATATATATATATGTATATATATATCAGTATTAAAAACTATATATACAAAAGTGACATTAATTAAACCATAAATAAGATGCAAAATTTGGCAGAAGACATAAGTTTTAAGGCTTCAAGAGTTAGAGTCTTTGCCAAAATTATGTTTTGGTAGACTTAAAAACCCTGGTGGATTTCATAATGTTCTTATAATGTAATAAAAGGTTCAAACTTTTGCTTATATCATCATATATAATTTGGAGGCTAAACTTAGGCTTCACGACTAATTACACAATTACAGTTATATATCTTGTTCCCTCCTTTTTTTTCCTTTTCTTTTTTATGAAACAATTATAACTGATTTTCATGAAAAGAGAAGGAATGTGAAAGAACAGTAATACTTGTGCCTTACTAATTTTTCTTCCAATATCTTCATAATCTAAACGGGCAAATAATTTTTTCTTTTGTTTTCTTTAAAAAAAAAAAAAGCAAGATGATGAATTTACCAGGAGAGAAGCAATGGCGCCGAAAAGGAGAGTGTAGAACTTTCCCAAGTATGCATCAGAGACAAAAGCACCAGCCAAAGATGAAATATTGGAAAATCCACTCCACACATTTGCCACCGTCACCAAAAATATTCCACTCAAATTGTATTTCGTGCTCAAATACACTGTTATATTTGCTATCAAGCTCATTGAAGCCAATTTCTCGAACGACTCGTTTCCTGATAATAAATAAAAAGAAAAAAAAATCAGCTTTTAAAAGAAAAAAAGACAAAACTAATTATATATTAAGATTTTTTTTTTCTTTATTCAATACCAAGAATGTATTTGATGGATTTCCACCCTCCAGCTTTTCTTTCTGCTGCAGTACCGGGACGAGACGGTATTGCGGAGTATTGATTCGCTAATGAAGAAGAAGAAGAATGGTAATTTTCTCCATTCTCCATTTCTGATCTCTCTCTTTCTCTCTCTTCTTTCTGTTCGATAGTTTTTAGTTATTTTCTTCTGTGTTTCTTCTAAGTATGTGTATAACTTGTAGAATAAACAGCTAATTTGAAGACTTAAAAAGAACGAGTGGAGTAGAGAAATGACGGACCGTGTTTTTGTTACAAACCAATTGGGGCCAAATTTTTTTTTACTGATAAACTGGTTTTGCAGTGTGATTTTTTTTGTTTTTTTTTTTTTGGTTAAATCGATGGCAACTTTGAATTCGTTTTAGAAAACAGGTCGTTTTGATTTTTTTTTTTGTTTTTTGTTTTTTTGAAGGGGACGTCGTCAGGTAGATTTCATGCAGAGACGCGTGGAAATATGCATGTTTTCCTCAACCAATTATAGTTGTGATTTTTGTGAGATTTCATCAGTTTAAGTTTCTTTTCTCGCGGCGTTGGATCCTAACTTTACGTGATTATTAATTTCATTGAAAATTATTTAAAGAAAATGGCTAAAGATAGGCTACTAGTGACAACATACCTGACAGTAGTGCATCATCTTACTGCATCACCATTATTATTATTATTATTATTGTTGTTATTTTCTACTGAAAAGGGGAATTGTTGATATTCTCATGCCCCTATCAAGCGTTTATAAAAGAAATTAATTAGTTCCACTGAATGGAATGGTTAATAGTCTTAAGAGTCCGTTTAGTTCGCTGATTTGAGTTTTTAATTTAAGTTGAGATGTGATTTTATGTGAGAGCTTTATACTATAACAAAAAAGTAAAATGTGACTATTTCTGAAAGCTTTTTACTGTAACAAAACTCGAATTCTAAATTCAAATCGGTGAAATATATGGGGCCTAAACATTTTTTTTTTTTATCCATTCACAACTTAGATTTTACTTGTCTACCACTAAACTCTTATACCCATCATGAGTGAGCATTATCACTTTTAAAGTTGAAACAAATTTAGGTAGTCCCTCACTATTAATATAGAGATTGTTGTAACCGCGAAGTAACTTTTCTTCATGGCAAGATATAACGTTATGTCAACGGAGGAGTGAGGACAACCGTGGTACCACATATATATCTTCCTTTTTTTCTCTTGAAATGGATAATTTTTAGTTTTTTTTTTTTCTCTCAAAAATCTTTTTTTGTTGTGTCTTTTTCTTAAGCTGTAAATATTTTGTGGAATATCCATAAAAATATCACCATATAATTGGATATTCAGATATATAAATTGCAAAGAAAAAAATGGATATTAATATTTTGTGGATACTATCCAAAAAGTATCGATATTTCAAATATACTTAATGGAAAAATTATCTTGAGTACTCCCTGTATTTGTATCGAGGATCCCGACTTACGGATATCATCTTGTAAATATTGATAAAATGTCGGCAACTTTATTGAAGTGCTCATAATTTCCTCTGGTAAACTTTAGGTGCGTAATTATCATTTTTAATTACGATTACTGCACGCTTGGAAAGTAAAAATAATAAGAATAATGCTAGGAACACTAACTTAAATACTAATTATTTATATCAACTGACGTGTCATGTGAGTTGTTATTTTTTATATTGGCGGTTGTTTAAAACATTACCATGTCAATTAATGATAGCAGATTGCTTGTACCAATAAAAAAATGAAAACTAACATACCATGTTAGTTAGTAGAATTTAAATTAGTGTCTCTAACATTACTCAAATGATAAATACATGCCTAAAATTATAAACATAATCATGATTAATATTTTGTAAGATTTATCAACTACAACTCATGCTGGCAGTATCCTAGCTTCGAATCTTAAGCTATGCAGTACTCCCATCTAGCAAATATTCAAACAGGGCGTTACCTAAATACATAAATACCTGTATACAAATTATAATTGTAGAATTTTATAGTTAGTGGTACGCCCAATTAATTTAGGATTAAGGTTTGTATTTGTTGTTGTTGTATATAGTGAGTGGTACAAATCAACATCTAGTATTTTTTTTTTTTTTTAATAAGAGTGTCCTGACTCTTATAATAAATATAGTTTCTTAATTATGGCTCATTACATATAGGGTTTTTTTTTCCTTAACATTCTTTTACGCTATACTTTAAGAGTGTCGAATAATTATATTCTATTTTTGACTGTTGTCCATTTATTTTCGATTGTAGTCCCAAGAGAACAGATGGAAAAGACTACTCGATCTTTGATTGAGTTTACTGGAGATTCAATCATCCCCTAGGGGATGATCAAGTTACCCATCACAGCGGGAAAGAAGCCCCGGTAGGCCACAGTGATGGCAAATTTGTGGTGATAAAAGGAGCGTCACCGTGTAATGCTAGGATTGGAAGGCCAACCCTTCGAGCGCTAAAAGCTGTCACGTCCATCTACCACCAAAAGATCAAGTTCCCAACTCTAAATAGGGTAGGAGAGATGAAGTGCAATCAGTACGAGTCGAGAGTTCATATTCAGATGTTGTGTATGACTACGACGGCCCCAGAAGGATAGAAATGCGAATGGTCAGTCAAGGAGCCGATTGATGAAGACATCGACCCAAGGGTCGAGAAGGAAGTTACAGGGTCATAGCTGGTTGAACAGCTGGAGGAAATCCAGGTAGATGAGAAGAAGCCAACGAGGGTTTTGAAGGTTGGTTCAACCTTTCCTCCAGCACTAAAGGAAGAGTTGGGAAATTTTTTGAAAAAGAACTTAGATGTATTCACGTGGACCTATGACGACATGGAAAGGATCGACCACAAAATATATGCCATTGTTTGAACATCGACCCTTCATTTCCACTAAAGCGCCAGAAGCATCGACCGATGAATTTAGAAATGTATGAGGCTTTGAAGGAAGAGATCGACAAGTTGATAAAAAAAATGACTTAATCTGGGAGGCCCACTATCCAGAGTGGATCTTAAACCAAGTGTTGGTCATAAAGCCCAATGGGAAGTGGAGAACATGCGTCAACTTCAACGACTTGAATAAAGCGTGTCCAAATGACAGTTTCCCACTTCCACGTATAGATTAATTGGTCGACGCTACGGTTGGGCATAATGGTTATAACTAGATTCTTATGCATCCAGTTGATGAAGAACACACCTCATTCATTATAGACCGAGGACTCTAATGCTACAAGGTAATGCCATTTGGTCTGAAATATGCAAGGGCTACCTACCAAAGACTCGTAAATAAGATGTTCGCCAAGTAGCTCGAAAAAATAATGGAAGTCTATGTTGACGACATGCTGGTGAAGAGTGCAAAGGCCAAGCAGCACGTTGAGAACTTGCGAGAGATATTCGACATATTGAGGAGATATCATATGAAGTTGAAGCTCTTGAAGTGTGTGTTTAGGGTCGACTCTGGAAAATTTCTGGGGTTCATGGTCAGCAATAGAGGAATAGAGGCAAACCCTGAAAAAATGAAGGCTCTACAAGACAAAGAGTCCCTCACAAAGCCAAAGGAGGTATATAAGCTGACAGGATGTGTCGCCGTCCTAAATAGGTTCATATCCAAAGCGACAGATAAATATATACCTTTCTTTGATACGATTAAGGGCAATAAACGTTTCGAGTGGACTCAACAATGTGAAGAGGCCTTTCAAAAGCTGAAAGAACATTTGGGTAAGCCTCCAATCCTTTCAAAGCTAACTCCATGTGAAAAGAAAGTTAAGCCTTTACCTCTCCGTTTCAGAGCATGCGGTGAGTTCAGTGTTGATCAAGGAAGAAGGAAAAGCTTAACTGCGAGTTTATTACGTGGGTAAGTGGCTTTTAGATGCTGAGACCAGAGATCTAGAGATGGAGAAGTTGGCCCTCGCCTTGGTAGTGACGTTAAGAAAGCTTCACCATTATTTCCATACGCATACAATAAAAGTGCCGACAAACCATCCCTTAAGACAGGTATTGCAAAAGCCTAAGACCTCTGGCCGACTACTAAAATGGTCAGTATAGCTGAGCCAATTCGACATTAATTACGCGCCGAGGACTACAATAAAAGGGCAAGCCTTGGCAGATTTTGTGGCGGAATTCTCTCACAGACTAGCAACAATGGAGGAAGTAGAGGGCAATGAGGTAACTAGATGGAAGCTTTATATGGATGGGTCCACAAATGAGAGTGGATCGGGGGCAGGAATAATGTTGATAAGTCTGGAAGGCCATAAAATCATAACGGCGATACGCTTCAAGTTCAATGCATCGAACAATGAAGCAGAGTATGAGGCGCTGATCACATGACTGAAGTTGGCAAGCCACTTAAGAGCCAAGAACATAAACATCTACAGCGATTCCCAGCTTGTAGTGAGCCAGATTAAGGAAGAGTACCAGACATAAACTTTAGTGTGATTTAATTTTAAAAATAAGAGTTCAAGTAAATATGTTGAAGAGTATAAACTAATATGTATTCAATATATATCATTGTTACACGATTAGCATGTTTTTAGTAGTTAATGTTTTTAATTGATTTCACATTACCATAACTAATTAGATTTTGAATAATAAGAGTGTATAATACCATATAAAAATATTAATTTGAACTTAAGTACACAATTAAATTACTTTAAAATTTCTTAGTCAAATGTTAAAATCTACGATCAAAAGTACATTTGGTCAGAGAAAATGATGTTTCGCAACTAAAATTTGGTTGCAAAAAGAGATTTTTTTTGTGACCAAACTGCTTTTTGGTCATAGAAAATATCTTTTTGCGATCAATTCTTACTTGGTCACTAATTCACTAAAAATTATTTTTTCATAAATTGCTTTTTTTTCATTTACTTTTATATTGCTAATTGATTCAAAATAGTAAAAATATATTTGAAAATAATCATTTATAACTTTGGCATGATTTAATTTTAAAAATAAGAGTTCAAGTAAATATGTTGAAGAGTATAAAGTAAAATGTGTTTGATATATGTCATAGTTACACGATTAGTTTGTTTTTTTGTAGATAATGTTTCTAATTGATTTCAAATTACCATAACTAATTATTTTTTGCCACTAAATTATTATTTGTTCGCTAATTCTCTTAA